GCACACAGTGTACCACGCATTTCTTTGATTCCAAATAGAAAATATCCAATTGAAGATTATTTTTTTTTTTTTGTGAAGCAAACAACACTTCCCGGTGTGTATTTGAGCCAATGATTACATATTTTGTTATGTGTTATTTTTTTTCGTTTCGATTTGTACAATCGGTCGCTATTTTCGGGCTCATTGTATGACTCAATATGCGCATATTCATTACATTGTGGTTTTTTTTCTTCTCCTTTCTCGGTACGACGATAAACTTTTTTTCTCGCTTCTTTCGTACAAATTGTCCAAATTAAACGGGTAATTTCTTGTAACTTCGAGTCGATTGATGAGCATTTTTTTTGGTTGTTGTTTTTCAATGCGATTTTCCTTTTAACACTTCAACTTGTCGTTTTGTTTGCACTGAACGCACGCCAATTATGTTGAATGAAATATGTTCTGTGGATAGATACTTTCGGAGGCGTTGTTTGCATCTTCAAACTCAAAAACAACTCGGTTTCGATTTAATTACTTATTAAGATCAATGATTCAGACGAAAGTGCGGAAGGGAACCCTCAAGAAAAAAACAAACAAACGGCAGCAAAACCTACACACGATTGCGGTTTTTATGACTTTTTTTTTTTGAATCCGATGAATGAAAGAAGAAAAAAATTGCTTGCCGATTTTCGACGATTATCGCAGTGGTTTTATTAGAATTAATTTTTTTTTATTCAACTCGATTAGCTACTAAAGCTCAATTCTATTGAAATCTCTATTTAAATCAAATTGAACGAATTAATTTCCGTTGTTCACTTTTTCAACGTTGGGCAGGTTGAACGCAATACATTTTTTTGTTCTCACACAACGAACGAAGAAGTCAAGATTCTTTTCTCAGTTCATTGGATACATTCTCACAAATCGAACAGTATTTGGCTTACCAATTAGCTGTGGTAAATCTGGATATATTTAAATCTGAAGTCAGAGCAGCGTTTTGAATTAGTGAATTTTAGAAGGCGATGTCGATGGCCAGTACCAGTGATGTGTATAATATCAAAAAGTGATCACATTCGATCGAATAGAACAATTCGTGGGCGCAAATTGTACAATGTTAACGGAACAAATTCAATTCTACTTAGTACGAATTAGTGAATATGTTCAATTTATCACTTTGGATTGACATGTCCCGAGCTGTGTTCCGTTATAACAATAGCTTATTTGTATACACAAACACAATGCGGACAGTGAGCGAAAAGAAAGAGAGAGAGAGAGACAACATTGAATTGATCGACGGTGATTCGGTATAATCATCGGGTTGTTTATCCTTTTTTGGATTGCATCACCTCACAATATACGTGACATGTCCAATCGTTCTGTATTCAATATTATATCAAAAGATTTGCTGAAAACAAATCGAGATTGCCGATGTGTTAAAATGTTCGAATAGAGCATTTCAATGAGTATTGTTTCGTTTTCTTTTTTTCAGAAATGTGTAGAAACTCTTAAAATTTATCGTTGAGTCAAGCTCATATATATGTTTATGAACTCATCTTGGTGGCGTGCATGCTCAACGTTCTATCGATGTTGCTTTTTTTTTACAACGATTTCTTTTGTCATATTTTCAATGCGAAAAGGTTTCTTATCCGTAAATTGACTACGCAATCGACAAATTTGTAACTACATTGCAAACATACTTACACATTTCAATGTGGTTTTGGTCAATAAATTCTTGTCAACATTGTCGTTTTTTTGTCATCGTCATTTGGGTACTTCGATTTGGGTTTCTGTCTTGACGAGTTATAGAACTCTTTTTTTATATTTATTTATTTATTTATTTATTTGTGTGTGCGTGTGCATATGAAACAACAATTGAAAAGGCGTTGTCAAATTATGAGCAAGCTTGCGACGCAATCATACATACACAATACAAAGTTGGTGAACACGTTTGACATACGTAATGTAAAGTACATTCATTCGTTTTGTTTGCATTTTAGTCGTCAATACCATTTGGATGCTGCATTTCTTCTCTCGATTGGCTTCAACTGTACACATGAACACAGAACATCGTTGAACACTCAAGGTTGAACTCAATCATTTTTGTCTGCTCATTTTCTCACTCCCTCTTTATTTCTTTTCTCTCTCTCTCTCATTTAATTTCGTATCATATGAGTACAGCGATTGAGAGAAAAAAAAACAAACAAATAAAAAAGAAATGCGCCCGACTGTGTTTCCCATCGCAATAAGTAATTGTCACATCTCCAATTTTCTTTTATATTTGCGTAATTGTCATTTCAACCGTGTACGATGCTTGAGAATCCAAATAAACGTGTCCAATGTTCTTTTCAGTCGTAATTAATATTCACAAATGTTTGAATTTTTGTCATTGCAACTTTGGTATTTCTCATGCGACCGACACAGACACACGATCAATTTGTAACCGGACAAATGCCAATTTTAAATAAGAACGAACTGAAAATGATGTATTGATAAAAAAAATGTTCAAGAATCGAAAAAAAAATTCAGAAAAGAATGAGAAGGAGATCCGAAAAGATTGAGAAAGAGTGAACATGGTCACATTTCAGTTCCATTTAACAAAACAATTGTACAGAATAAAACTGACCAGTTGACAACTGGCAAACATTACATAGTCCATGGAAAATGTATGATTAGTAGGCTCAAACAGTCGTCGTAATGATGAATGTGTCACATGTACGTGATCACCATTAAGAATTACGACCACTGTTGTTTTTTTCGTTGAGTATTTACATTTCGTGCGTTTTTAATCATCCGAATCATGAAAATAGAGTCACACATTCAGCCAAGACATAGAAATTGTTACACATGGGCACGTGCGTACCAAGATTCAAATCCATTTGCTGTAAGACCTTAATTAAGTGATTATTATATTAAAGAATGGAAGCAGCAACGGAGACCGATAAAACAAAAAGACGGAAAATCCAAATTCAGATACACGCGATAAAAGTCACATACATTGAAATTTGCACTATATTAATTCAACGTGATTCACGGATTTCGGTTACGTTTCGATGACTACCGTTTTAGATATCAGCACGATGTGAGTATGTCAGTGACAATTGGCAGAATTCCAATGAAAATAAAAATAAAATTGAATGCGAGACTGAATCGTCGACGACATTAAAAAGAAATAATAATCTACCGAATAGTCCGAATTAAAATTCAAACGAAGAGAAAACAAATCACCCAAAATCTAGTGTATGTGTGAGACAATTGCCACGATATAAAATAATAATCAATTCGCGGTATGCGGATTAAATCAACATTGTGACATATTATAAAGTTAATTATTTTATTTGCTGGCATTTTTTTTTGCGCTCGCTCGCTTGCTCAATCGATTGACCGCTTCTCTAGATTTATAAAATATCAATAAAAATTCAATTAAAGCGTGTTGATCTAATTCGTTACAGTTGTAAGCGAAAAATCACATTATACATGCATGCGAGCAATAGAATTATCATAAGAAATATGCGCACACATATTGCTTACGATTTTAACATACATTATTGATCGATTGTATCGACAGGGAGAGAAGAAGTGAAAAAAAATTTAAGAAAGGCCATGCTCGCTAAGAATTTATCGTTTACTGTCCACAACTATACTAGTCAAATCCGAAACGGAAAGAGACCAATAGCAATTTGATTTTAAAATAAAAACAAAAATAACAGCAACAATAACGAAATGCGAGTGTGACACACTCGAACCCAACCTACGATCACTCGAATTGTAGAAACCTACAATATATTCCGATATATGAACAACAGCATAGCCTCGACTAGTGCGTACATTGTGCAGAGATGCCAACATCATATAGCGCGCATTTGTCGCTCGAACTCCACTCTCTGCATCAATGTATAAGCACACAACACCTACATACCCCCAGACACAAAACACATATAAAAAAAATAACAACATTGGCATCGTATTATAAAATTTATATTTCTTTAAATTGCTCATGAAGCACATACACACAAACATATACTGGAAAATATCAAAGCGATACATTTTTATCGTAGCTATGTTATTTCATAATTTATTGAGACTTGCAATTTTATTCTCCCATTGCAATTGACCATTTGCGTTATTTTTTGTTTTTTCATAAATGAATGGAATATAGCAATAAGAGCTTGACAATAATAAAAATATGCCCACAGACAAGTAGAAACAATATAACATTGTATTGAAACGAATCGGTAAACTGGCGACAAAGTCACTCAAAATCGAGCGTCTAAATAAATAATCCAACCGAATAAGATCGTCGTCAATGGAAGTGAGTGCAAAACACCAAAGGTACTTGACGGTCCATTGATGATCATTTCAATCGCTTACCATGTGTTTTTAATTTGAAATGCTTTGCTCTACTTGTACCCAATATTTGCAGACGAATTTAATGCGAAACTGTCCCGATTTTTGATTTATTATACACGCTACCTTCATGACGACACCGTTTTCAGAATCCACACAAAATTCAGCCCAAAAAACAAAAAAATCAAACCGAGTATTGCATGCATGTTTCGACGTTTGTTTCCATACAATAAATTCAGTGCTCTTAATCAAACTCAGTCAGCCGCTCGACTTGAAATTGACAACAGTCACAATTTATCAATATCAATTCGAGAGTGCAGCGAGCATGTTTAATTAAATTGCGTGATAATTTTGGACAGTCTCAAAGTGTGGCGAAGAGTTCAACTCGAAAGAGATGCAATTTGGTTCTGATGTCGTTGTCGCCATATGATTTGATCTGTAGCATTTCGAACTTCAACCGTGCAATCCGTCGAACGTCGTCGTCGTCATCATCGTAGTCATTGCAAACAGACACATTTAACGGGGTTTTTGATTTGCGTTTTTTTCCTTTCGTATGGTGTGGGAATAACCGTGCGCGTATTCACACTCATGCAAGTAGCAACGTAATGAACTGTTGATGCTGAAGTTGAACAACAGCAAATACAATAAAAAAATGTATTAAACGCCAAAACCATACACACGCGCCTCTCTCAAGAGACCGCAAACACGTTACTCATTCACTCACGCTCTCGATGTATGTATGGCCGGGCTTCAAGAGATAAACAACAAAACAAATTATTTGCAATCCAGTGGCATTAGCGCCATCGACGATACAAGACGTGAACAAATTAACCGCTCGATATAATTTTATTTACTATTTATTTTCGATTAATTGCGTGCTTTTTACCGAACTAAACGATCGTTAGTGTTTTAATTTAGAACATCAGAATTTTTCCGAAAAAAAAGGGAAAGAAAATTCGGCTTTATCGCGAACATTTTTCTGCGAACTTGGTTGAATGGTCAAAGTGTAACTTGACGAATTTAAAATAACAAAATATCCAATGTGCAATTCGTGAGAAATTTTCGTGAATTTTCCACCATAAATTTATCGAATTTTTTGCCTTTCCATTCGTGGAAAGAAGATGTAATTCAATTGAAATGAAAATCATTTTGTTGCCAAATTCATTAAACACAACTATGATTTTGATATATTGCAATATTCGTGCAGTTTTTTGACGAAAATTCACTTTGAAAACCGGATAATTCGATAATAAAGAAAACAACAACAAAAAAAGAAAATTTATCGATAAGATTGAACACACCGGTGTGACATTTAAATGAATTTGTAAGAAAGTAAAAGAATTTGAAAACACAAAAAAATAACACACAACCAATTACACCCACGGAAGTGAGCACAAAAGAAAAATCACATTTGCCGAATCGCGAACAAAAACCAAAGAGACACGTACTCGCACCAATTATTTGAAAGAGATAGAGACACACATAAATACGATCTGTGTAGAGCATACACGCAAACCGAGACCTGCATCGCATATTCATTGAGCCAAAATGAACCAAATCGGTTTTTATTTGCAGTCGATTATTTTATTGGTAAGTTAAATCGTGATTTATGTTACATTTTTCGATAATAAAGAAATAGGCAACCAGCAAAACAATAATCAGAGAAGAAAAAAAAGTCATTCAAATTCCACCGACTAGAGATCAATGGTAAAAGAGAAAAATGAATGAAATAAAAATAAAAGTGTCGCCTGGAAAGAATGAATACAATAATGATGCATGAAATGTGACGATTGTTTTTAAGTGCAAATTAAACACAAGAAAAAGGCGACAATTTTTATGAAAAACAAAAGAGCGGTAAAAATGTCTATCGACAGAGCGCGAACATTTTTAGCACTAAAGTAATCAATCTATCGTTTTATTATTGTTGCAATGCAATACACCGTAAGACGGATGCACGTGGAGATTAGTTCGACTCACTTAAATTGATTATGCATGCACACAATGTTTATAGTTTTGTCGTTCTAACACACACACACACACACACACACACACACACACACACACATTACTTTGACTACTGCAAAAAAAATTCTGCCGCAAAACCACAAAAATTTCTGTTTCTATGTGTGTTTACTATGCGGTGCACGCTCTTTTACACAAATTGGTATTAGATGACAACGAAAATTGCCTACAGATGTAAATAAGAAGAGAAAAAACCTCGCATTGCACGCAGTCACACATTCAAACGGCCATTGATCGTAATGACAAACTACTAATGTGCCACAGAGGCTGTGTATGTGTGTGTGTGTGTGTGTGTTTTTTCTTCTGGTTGCTCATTTTTTGCAAAATGTATGTAATTTAAATTTTTGGTGGAAACGTGATTAAAATAATTTTGTGGTCTTGTGTATGCAGGCGGTGTGTTTGGGTGCTGTAAAGCAGAAAAAATTATGTGTTATTGGTCAAAAAGTCAACATTCGATGATATCATGATTGAATGTGACAACGTCTTGGCTTTTTTTCACTTAAAAAATGCAAATAAATCTCCGATTTACCGCAACAGTTCAATAAATCTCCTGATTTCAGCACATGAACAAACGATATTTTTTTATGCGTGAAAAGAAAAGAGTAAATAGATTTCGATGAGAAAATGCCATGTCGCATATTTGCCGAGAGTTAATCGAGAGTAAACAACGTAAATTCCGATTTATTACAACTTCCACATTCAGAGAGATCAAATGCATTCATCGATATGCTCCCAATGCAGTAATAGAGGTGAAGCGATGAATGAAATTGCAAGTTAAAAAAAACAACATCAACAACAACGAAAATAACAAACAAAGTCGATGAAAAGTAAAGCAAATAGAAATGGAAAAGCATACACGAGCCGCACAGAAAAATGAACATGCACACATACTGTGCGAGTAAAAAACAAACGAGCGAGTTACAATTATTTCATGATTTTGGAATTTTACGTGTTATTCTCTTCGCTGAACATACATTAAATGAGTCTGTGGTACTTTTAACAAGATCTCGACATTCAAATGCATCCACATCCATAAACGTTAACCAGATATAACACGAAATAAACAAGCATAAATTCGCCAAGGAAAATAGACGAATTTAGTGTAGGACTGTGGCAAACGAAAAAATAAACCATTTTCATTGGTATATTTAGTTCCGATTTGACGGAGAAGAAGCACACACGTTATTTGCAAAATGAAAACAACACAGATATTATGTGTATAGTGTATTCTTTCCATCTCTTTCATCTTCTTTTTTCTCGTTTAACTCGATTTTGTAATATTATTTAATATGTATGTATACATTGTCTATTACGTATGTGTTTTTCTTCTGTTTTCTTCTTTCTACGTATTTGCTTTTGTTATCTTTGTTTCGAAGTTCTCTTTCGTTCGATGGGTGACGACAAGCGCTTTCGCTTTCGGATGTGGATTCACACCAAAGGAATTAGTAAGCTGCAATTTGTGCTGCTGGCATACTGACGTCCATACAATATACACTATTTGAATTCGTTAAATTCACTGGAAACTGCAATCAGCGTATCCGTTTCAAATTCGGTTGAACGAAAATAAATATTTCAAGGCAAATCAATTCACTTAAATCATTTCTAATTCTAAATGTGCGCGCGTTCTTCATTTTCGCACCGAAAAAGTGGCAAAGAAAAAAATTTACACAAATTCCGTAACATAGGCGATTAATTCTGTGTCAATTGTCGCGTATTTCTATTATTTAAAACAAATTCATGGAATAACAAGCGATCTTTTGTCCACGCGCTAAGTATATTGTGTCGTTGTTCATTAAAATTCAGTGGCATCATCACTTCGATGCGAACGCTGCGAATCAATTTTTGCGCATACTTGTTTTGAAAATTAAAATGCTTCGTTTCAGCTCATGAAAAATGTAATGGTTATGATAATTGTCACATTTAGTTACATTCCGAAAACAATTGAAAAGTAATGTGCCACCCAATCGTGTGCGCGCGCGTGTACATCAAATCCAATAAATTGTCAATATGTTTGTAAACGCTTTTGTTTTCATCGATTTTCGACAAGGTCACAACTACCGGCGTATTCAATCTTCGTTGAGCATTTTTCTTCTGATTTTTTTTATTTCGAATCATTCTTTGTATCGATCCAATCGACCATGATTCAATATCGGTTTGAGTGAGTACATTTTTTTTTTCATTGCAAACATTTGTTGAGCCCGTAGTATTTTAGCTTTGATTGCCAGATCCATAGATTTGCTAACCAATTTACATTTGCCGCGTGAATCACTTTTAAACGTTTGTATTACATTAGAGTGGAAAAAATGCACTTAATTTTAATCACTGTAATATATCCGACGGAGTTTGATATTTTGTACGATGACGGAATCGCAATCGAGGCATGCAATTTTCATAGAAATTCAATCGACGTGAAAAAAAAATTAAATTGACGGCATTTGCGTTGCCAGAAAAAGAAGAAGAAACAATCAAATAAATCATCAATCAGTTGCGATTATGCAATCGCGTGTGGCTTATCGATCGCTCTAAATATAAAATGTTGGTGTGTACAAAGCGTCGCATGCAATATAGTCCGGCACATTGCGTTTTTTTTCATCTAATTTTCGGTTAAAGTTATGCTGATTGATAACAGAGGAAAAGAAAAATACCCTCGGTGAGTGCATTTTACGTTTGATGTACTCGCGATAGACACATAACGATGTATCCGGTCTATAATAACGTTCATTTTGTTATGTGTTTTGCCAATTTTCGTGTCGATCATATTGACGCTACTGTTTTTGTTTTTTAAATATTAATTTTGTTCCGTCGGCAATGTTTTTCATACTTGCTTCATTAATTGAAAAATTGTAGAAAAATCAATCAATCAATGTTAGAGTCGGCGATGGTGTCAGGTGTGTGTTTGCAAAAATATTTCAATTCGAAATTTATCATTCGTTGAAAATGCAAATGCTTGTTGTTGTCTTTTTTTTTGCATCATTGCGGTGAAGTTCGATGGAATTTTTCATCGACACGCAAAAACTAAGAGTGGCCATTTCAGACCTTGCACCACTTGCAAGAAAGAAACAATTTTAATTTGTAATTTCCCAAAAATGGTCGTGTTGATTATCGTGATTCGGAAACATGTGGCCGCAACCTTACATACCGTTTTTTCATGGGTTCAATTTTCGAACGCATTTACCGAATTTGAAGTACTCCAATTTAATGAAAGATAAATACTCTAATTTTTACATGTATGTAAATCAAGTAAAGAGCATTGTCTTTAGATTTTCGGTTAATTTGCTTATATGATGCTTCATTTCACTTTCGTCAACTTGCTTTCATTACACACATGATGCGCGACATAATTAGTGCCCATTAACGTGCTAATGACCACATATCTATAACAAATTATCAATAAACATGCTTTGGATCACACATAAATATGAGCATGCAATGGTTCATTATTAAAATACGATAATTGCTCTACAATCTTTTTTATTGTTTGTTTCGTCTCTCATGATCATCGTCATCTCTCTCTCCCTCACTCATATACAAAAAAAAATGTTAATTCCGAATTTGGCTCATGTAATCTTCTCGGTTTAAATTTCGCATCGTTCGGTGACTCCTTTTCGGTTGTATACATCATATCGAGTTACTTTATCTTTCTTTCTCTCTTTCTTGCTTACGATGTCAATGGTAGTGTGGTGTTGCGATTCAGCATTTCGGTGATTGATTATGCAATGTTTCGATGCTCGACTCTCTGGACTGCTTGCAAACACAACGCACGTGTAAAAATGTGAATATTTATTTTATTTTTCGCTGGTTTCTCGTTCAATTCTCTCTTGACTACATTTTGCATTGTAAATATGCTCATATATGGTCAATTGGTCATAAAAATGTCTTGAAACAAGTTAAAAATCCATTAATTTGTCTTTCTTTCTCCCACATTGACCAAAACTCTCTGATCGATGTCAACCAAATGCTTGGCTGTTGTTGTTTTTGTCTTTTGAACATCGAGAGTGCGAAACTCTTTCTCAATAATACTTGAAATATGCCTGGGCATTTAAGTTTTTGATAGAAAAAATATATACACAAACACTGACCAATCGAGAAGTAGTGCAATCACAATAGCAAAAAAAAATTGTAACATTTCAACGAAGAGGAAGTAGTTATGCGAGCATAACATAGTCTTGACTTCCAGTTGGCATCCATTTGGTGTGGGATTTTTTTTTTTTTTGCATCACTTGCAACAGCCAAAAAAGATTAAAATATCACATATTCACGATTTTCAGTGAAAGACTTACAATGGAAAAAAAAAGTTCGCTACGAAGTGAAGCAGACAGAAAGAAATCTGGCGAGTGAATACGACGTCGAACTACGAGTGGAAAAAAGGTCAAATATCATAAGAAACATATATATAAAAAAGCACTTCGATCCAAAAATAACAAGAAACTTTCCCTTTCCGCATTGAACATATATTTCGAAAAGAATATCGATTGCCTTGCCAAGTTTGTTCGTGTAATTTTACGGGTTCCCAATTCAAAATGTCTATGCTCGGGACGACAAAACAAAAATTGATTATGTTTGTCTCG